TGTTTTGGTGTAACTGAAGACTGGTACCTATATGCTGTGGGTTATATGAACTATTGAGTGGAGTTCTCATCCTGCCTGATGTTATGCTTGAAGATGTGATGGACAAGCTTATTCAAGCAGATACACTTTTAGTCCTTCTTACCCACCCATCACCAGCTATATAACATGGAGTTATTAAAGTAAGGGTAAGTACTAAGCTTTGTTTTCGTTCAGAAAAATAAATGTATATGTTAATTAAAAATTTGAATATATATGTTAAAGTAGACCTAAAGCTTTATTTTATATTTAGGAATAATGAACTAATATAGTTTGTTACTTTTTACTCATGTTTTTGTATGTATTATAATCTAATTTTAAGCCTTCTTATATTGATTCATATCAATATGTTTTTTAAACTACCAATAAATTCACATACATGAACCATTAATAAGTCTATTTTGCAAAAATTACAAGGAACACATGAGTCACTGGAAATTTCTCCTGCAGTGTAGTATCAAATTTTAGGCATTTACTTCAGATCTTAGATCAGATGTCACCTTTTCAGAGGCCTTCCCTGATCACCTTATCAAAATCACTTCCTCTAGCTCCACTCCTTATTTATATTCTACGACAGCATCCTGTTTATGTTTTGTAATTGTGTCTCAATTTATCTATATACTTGTTTTTTAATCTCCTACACTGAAATATAAGCTGCATGAGGGTAGGCATCTGTGTCTAGTATATAAGAGGTACTAAGTATATGGTTGAATGAATGAATGTTTGATATGAAAGGTTTCCATTAGAAAATAACCCAGTATTGAAATGGGCTTTTAAAGATTCTAATTTTTTTTAGTTTGTCTGGATATAGTATTGTTTAATCACTTGCAGTTCATCCCAGTATTTATTGAGCTCCCATTTCATGTGCAAGGCACTGGGCTAGTTGCTATATGGGATATAAAGAGGAGTAATATAAACCACTACATTCAAGGAGTTTATAGTCTAGTTGGGGAGAGAGTCTTGTATGCAATTAAGTAAAAAAAATGTAAGGAATTCTGTGATGAGTGCTGCAATGGCAGTATTAATGAAGAATAGGAGCATGGGGGAAATTATTCTGAAGGGAGAAATAGGGAAGGATTCATGCAGAAGGTGTACTTTGTATTATGCTGTAAACTTAGACAGCTTTCTAAGTAGGGAGTTAAATAGATGTGTGTTTGGGGAAGAGAAGTCTATCACCACTGTGAGGGAGTGATCGAAGGGGAGAGAGAGTGAGAGTGTTCTACATTAGCAGGCTAGTATAGTAGTCCAAGGAGAAATGGTGAGTTCCTGATCTGGGGTAGTGGGAAGTCAAAGGACAGATTTGAGAGACGTTCACTGGAATGGGAAAGAAGGACCTTCATAATTAAAAGTGGGGAATCAGGAGTAGCAAAGCCAAAAGTGAGTTTATCCTTGAAGTCTAGGAGTATTGTGCTACTCTCCTTTAAGATTGGAGCCTTGGAAGAAGTAGGTTTGGAAGGAAAAGTAATTTGCTTTTAAGAAGCTAGAAAAGGATAGAAATTCAAGCCTGTGCTCAGGATAAATTATATGTCAAGAAGTCTAGTAATAGAGGTCTAGGATATGTGTGTTGTAGATTTGCAGAGAGCGTAGTGTACCAGTTTTTTTTCCTTCAGAATTAGGTACATATATTTTACTTATACTCCACTAAGGGGCTGCCAGTCCATTCTTAGCTAAAAATGTCAGTTTTGCCATCACAGAAGTATTAAGATCTCCAAGACAGAGTCACCATTAGCATTTTACAGTAGTCAGAGACAAAGTTCATTTTCATTTTGCCATGGAAGTGGCATTTTCTTTTGAACTTTCTATGTTGTTTTATATATATTACTTTAAACAATACTGTCTGATTTGTATACATTATATTAAGTTAGTACATTACTCAAATTATCCTGTTTTTTCCTTAGCTATTAGGTGCATATTTTAATAGAGCATCAAAGGAACAAAAAGGTAAATTTCTGAAGAATCGTGGCTTTTCCTTGCTAGCCAACCAATTGTATCTTCATCGGGGAACTCAGGAATTGTTAGAATGATGTTCTTTGGTCGACTTATGGGCCTTGATGAAGAGCAAGTGGGTTCTTCCCTCCACCAGCTGGTGATCTCTTGTCTTTAAAATTTAGTGAATTCATTATTAAAATTATTTGGTCACCTTTAGGAAAATTCGGCTAAAAGTCATTTTCCAGGTAAATCAGTTTATTATTTTCCATATGATATTCTTAACATAATTTCTTTCTTTGTATTTCAATTACTAATTAGAAACTAGAACAAATAAATGCTGCATGCAATGAAAGAAAGTGATCTTAATGTTTGGCATACAGTGTTACAATGAGGAGGCTAACTGAAAAGAAAGGTGGCTCGTGTACTCTCAGCAACAGATTCCATGAGTGCTCTGTGCAAGCTCTCCTCACACACCCTTCAGGGCCCTCAGGTTATCTGGGAGAAGAGCACATCCCTCACCTGGAATTCCTGATGTACTGATTGCTGAGATTTGACCCTGGTGTAATGCTGAACAATTAGCAAAACAGTGCAAAAATAAAAACGTTTTTCTTCCAAACCAAAAATTTGGCAGAAAAGTTAAACTGTTATTTCTGTGTGTGATAAAGTAGAGAGAAATTTGTGTCTCCTTATTGTGGTAGACAGATTTAGGCCTTGAAGAATCTACTTATTTATTGTGGTAATTTCAATAGTAATTTTCATTTGCATAAGCTTCTGGCTTTTTCAAAGCAATTCTGCATTATCTCATTTGATTCTCACAACAGCCTTGAGAAGAAGAAAGTAGGGCAAATACAACCATGCTTATTTGACACATCAGAAAAATGAGGCACAAAATGCTTAAATAATTCCACTCTGTCACAGAGGCAAATATTACTGGGACAAGAACTCCAGATTCATTCCTTTTTGCTAGACCTTCTTAGTAGCTCACTGTCTCTCAAACACTATGTAAAATAATAATAATTTTCCTGTGCACTTGTTATATAGTACACTAAAGCAAGGGTTCTTTGGGTTACATACGGCGCCCACGGATGAATTAAAATGAATCAGTTAAAAACATGAAATTATATGCATATTTCAGCTAAATGTTTGTGTATTTAGCTTGAGATGGACTTCTAGCAATAGCTTTTATCTTATTATTGGAGGGGGTCTATTATAATCTACAAAAAAAAAAAAGCCTAAGAATCCTTACTCCCCAAATTTGTTTTGTTATAGCTTCAAAACCAGGTTAACAAAATTACCCATAGTTGCAATCATTTTTCCTTACTTTGTGACTAATTCCTTCTAACGTGCTTTTAATTGTGTATTGTTTACTATAGATTTTATCTGGAAGATGTGAAAAGCATGGGACTTTTTAGAAGTAGTCTGTCATTCCTTTTCTGGAACCAATAGAGACTTCTCTGTATGACACTGTACACCTGCATAATGCTCTTTTACTCCTTCTCCACATTTTAAATTCTTGTTCTAAAGTAGCAGATATGTTGTTGGATAATGGTCTACTCTATATGTTACGTAATATAGTAGCAGCCCTGAATGGGTTAGAAAAGAAGTAAGTTTTAAATTATTATTTTAAATTACATCTGATTAATACGTTAGAAAGAGAAAATGTTAGTAACAGGTTACTTTAAAGCATCTTACTAGATTAAATTAATTTGGAGAATATTTTTTTATCATTTTCAACAAAGTTTGGTTAAGAAAAGGGTGTTTATATGACCTACTTTTAATTATTTAGAACTTGAAGACAAGGAGAATAAATTTAGCTGCCCCCAAATATATTTATCACGCTTCCACCATTGGGTTATAAAAATTATTATCCTCATCAGGAATAGGAAATTGAGGACTAGAGAGATATAGTAACTCATCGAAGATCATACAGCTAGTAAATAGCAGAAAATGTGAGACTGAATCTGTCTCGCTTTAAAACCTATGTTTTGAACTCACTATGTTGTCTGACTGTTAGCATATGATATCATTATCTACCACCATAAATCAGGTTCATATAGCCAAAAGTACATTGGAAAATAACTACCCACCAAACTGCTTTAATAGCTTGTATTAAAAGCTATTGTGTTGTATTAAAAGCAAAGTGTTGTATTTCCTCTAAACACTTGTTCTTGATTACAATACAATGCATGAAATTGGAAGAATTTAAGAAGGGTACCTATAGGTTTGGTCTGAAAGTAGTTTTTGTTTGTTTGTTTTTAAATAAATTGTGCTTACTGAGTCTCCTTGTGTGCTACTCTATTAATTGGCTCAAGACAGTTACAATTCCTAACCCTTGCTTGATTTGGAAAAAATAAATGGAGAGAAGTGTCTAGGCCTAATGTCACACACTGAGGTAAGTTATCAAGATTAAAATTGAGAGACAGAAGCAACTAATTCATATTTATTGGGTATTTATAAGGGATTAATATATGTTCAACTATGTTAACTCTTTTAATCTCTAAGGTTGCTATAATTCATACAAATGAGGTTCAGAGAGGTTAATTAATTTATTCAAATTCACCCTCTCTGAGAAGCCTTCCCAGAATGTTCCTGTTCATACCTACACAATCTTCACCTTTAGTATGGGCTGGGAACCTGCTTATGTGTTCTCACAGTATCTTGTGTTAATGTCTGTTGTTACACTTAACACCATTTATTGTTTATAGTGATCCCTTTTCTGGTCCTCTGAAAAACTGTATTTTTGACAAGAGTCAATGGTGTCTTATTTCGCCATATAGTAAGCATGAATACATATTGAGTAATTGCATGAATGAATGCATGCTGGTGGAATAGGAATTTAAGCCATTTAAAGCAGTTCTTTTTGTCTTAAATTATTTGTTCTTTTTCTTACAAATGTTATGTTTTGTTCTTTTTGTTTGTTTTGTAATCTTTAGCATTCCTCTGAGTGAATACAAATTGCTTGCTTGTGATATGCAGCAACTTTTCATAGCAGTTACAATTCATGCTTGTAGTTCCTCAGGCTCACAATATTTAGGGTGATTGAAGACCGTATTGTACTGCTTGGATCTCTTCAAAATAGCAAAAACAAGAGGACACAAAGTAAGATTTAAGTTTTATGGATTTTGGGGGGAGTTGTATAGTAGCCAAACATGTATTTTATATCAACAAAACAAGTATTTGATCCTAACCTCTTTCTTCTTGGAAACTTTTTTACTGAAAGTTTAACCTTAATTTTGTGATGATATCAATAATCTTCAAAAAGAAGCCTTTTTGAGTGGTAAAAATAGAAAAAGTGGTGTTTTGGTGTAATTAGTAACTGGCAACACATTATTGAATGAAATCACTGATTTTTATTACCAAGTAGAATTAAAAAGTTTACATTGAATAATATGCCCTTTAGTTTCTTTAATGGCAAATACTAAAGTGAATATGAAACAAAAAAATATAAGAATTTCTGGTTAAACTTTTGCCTTATGTACAAAAACGTCTGTTCTTCGAAATAATTACATAAAATGAAATAAATTTATAAGCTATTTTTCCATGGAAATTTTTATAGTAATCATTTGGAAATTTGCTTTAACATTGTTTTTAAAGACAGTTAAAGAATATTTACTACCATCAAACACCCATGTTGATCAAAATTTTTAAATTTATGTCTAATAAAACATGATTGACAGTTCAGATATTGCATGATATATCAAAATAAGTTCAGTAAAAAATTCATAATCACATAGCTTGAAAACATTCTAGTATCTTCTGTTTTTAGATATGGCTGTTGCACTATAGCTTAGAGTTCTCCAGGCTGCTATGGAATTTATAAGGACCATTGCAGATCACAACTCTGAAAACCTTACAGATCCATTCCAGTCACCATCTGCTGCCCTTTATGCAGTGTTTCAGAAGCGGAAAAGCATTGCTGGTGAGTATCAAGGTAATATTTTAATAATTACGAATTGAAGGTAGCTAGACTTTCCTCTGTTCTGATGACATTCACATTTTAAAAATATTTCTTAGCTTAAAAAGTTAAGCTGTAAAATTTGAGATAGTATTCCTCCTAGAGGAAAGTTCTGCTGCTTTCTTTTCAGTGCTATTCTCATTTAATTATTTCTTGAGCACCTACCATGTGCCAAGCACTGTGTTAAATGTTGGAGATACAGTGATGACAGAAATACAAAGTCTACTCTTGCAGAGATTATAAAATAGTAGGGAAATGTATAGGTTAGGAATAGAGATTATAGCAGGGCAGCCAGATTTACATCAGGAATTAAGGAGATCTCTGAGGAAGTAAGATTTCAATATGGACATAAAGGATAAAAAGGGAGTCAGCAAGGTCAGGAGTCAGAGGAAGAATGTTAACAGGCAGAGTGGCTGGTTTATGTGGAGGTCCTGTGGCAGGGAAAGCTGCACTTGTGCAGAGCGGAATGAAAGTGGCACTTGATGAGACTGACCCAGACAGGGCTGTGCAGTGTGGCATGGGCCAGTTCATAAATAATAACACAGGCCACGTTAAGGAAGTTAGATTTTATCTAATGGGAAGTCATCAAAGGTTTTAAGTAGGTGGCATGATATAACCAGGTTTTCATTTTGTGAAGATCACTCTGTCTTCTGTGTAGAGAATGGGTTAGAAGAGAGCAAGAGAAGTAGTGGGAATCCAGGTGGGAGGCCACTGCAGCAGTCCAGGCAGAGAGTGGTGGTGTGGATATGGTTAAAATGCACTGGACATCAGGGCCTGCTATAAATTAGTACATATCACCAAATAATAAGTATTCATATTATAAGACTTCATGGAACTTATATTTTACTGGAAGAAATGGTCAATAAGCGTATAAACAAATATATTTAATATAGTGTCAGTGTAAATATCTACCTGTGAGGTAGGCTCTATTGTACTTTCTAATTCACATCTTACATATGAGGAAACAAGGCTTAGAAAGCAATGTGCTGAAGCCTACACCAGCTCTATATGGCTTCACGGCATGAGTGCTGAAATACTTCCCACTTATTCAAGTACATAGACTAGTGAAGACCTGGTATTTCCTTTATTCAGCCTATTGCCTTACCTCTTAATTATGATTGTCAGCTGTATAAACAGCATGAAGGCTGTCAGAGATGCAGACATCAGGAAGAATCTGCTTAAACTGAAGACATTGTCTGACAATATCATTCTTCAGTATATCCAGGATACGAAGTTTTTTCTATTTGCTTCTTTTTTGCCTCAAAGGTGACCTACCCACTGGACAATCTAAAATGCTGTTAAAATATTTAAATGTCTTGCAGGATAAGTCATTAAAACCTGTCATCATAATTTAGTCATATATAATTAATTTTTATAGAGGTTACTTATGGAAATTTAAAACAAAGATTCAATTACAATGAAGGGTTCCATATTTCTCACCTACCAAGACGTCATTTTGGTTCTTATGGTCAACTTCCAGTGCCTTTCTCCTCCAGTCCATTAAATCAAGACTTCTCCTTCAAGTTTTCTCCTGGCTGCATTACCTGTGCAACTCCTGAAGCAGGTGCAGTAATGGTGCAGGAACACCAATCCTACCTGTTCAATCTGAGGAAACATTTCTCAGGAAATTCTTTTGTAGGATTGAATTTCAGATAATGCATATGCCCCAAATCTTTTTAATAGCAAATCACTGGAATTATATTCACCTTTCTGATCTCTCTACTTTTATTTGCCTGATTTCTACTTTGTTACTGTATACACTTTTCAAAACTATTTTATAAAATTCACTAATGATAAGTATCCAGAAATAATAATGTTCTTACTAAAACATGGTATGTTTTAAATATCTGTTGATGATTTTGGAATACAAAGAAGTTGTCCTGACCCGGAGGATATTCAACGAGGACCCTGGAGCGGGGAGTGGGAATTGGATGGGACAAGAGACACGAGAAATGAAGACAAGACAGTATTCTGATCAAGTCTCATTTATTAGCCAGAAGGTCACAGTTTATATAGACAGCAGGAGGGAATCAGCAGATAATTAAGTATGCAGATGGTTTACTGAGAAAACCACAGGGTGGGTTGTTCCAGTAAATGGAAAATTCCCATTATCTATGGCAAGTTGTAAAGTTACCTACACCCATAGTGCACAGGATAGGGAGGGACGGAAGATAACAGCAAACAAGGCTCTGAGGCCTCGAGGCAATAGCTGGGCGGGCTCTTTGGCTCCGGACAGGCAGGCAGGCTCTTAGGCAACAGCCGGGCTCTATGGCTCCGGACAAGAAGTGAAACAGTATTTGAAAGTATTTTGTCAAAGCATTTTGAACTCCTTAAACCCATCAAGTACTTTGAATTTTTCAGAAGACTCAAACTTTGCCAAATGATATCCATCCTACCAAGCTTTGCCACTAGCTTCAACACTGTTATTTAGGACTTCGGAACCAGAAGTACTGTTGCATTTCTTCAAAGAGGGAGAAACATCACTTTCTCTTAATCACTCCTTTTCCTTTGTATAAACCAACACTGATAGAGTTTGGATATGTTGTCCCTACCAAAACTCAGGGGGAAAATTGTCCCCAATGTGACAGTGCTGGAAGCTGTTTGAGTCATGGGGGCGGGTCCCTCATGAATGGATTAATGCTGTCTCTGGGGTTGGGGGTCCTGAGAGAGATGTCACTCTATTCCCACGAGAGCTGGCTGTTTACAGGACCCTGGCACCTCCTCTTTCTCTCTCTCGCTCCCTCTCACCATGTGATCTGCTTGTACTTGCCACTTTCCACCATGAGTAGAAGCAGCCTGAGGCCCGTGCCAGGTGCAGCTCTCCCAGAATTGTAAGCCAAATAAACCTCTGTTCTTTATGAATTACCCAGTCTCAGGTAATTCTGTTATAGCAACACAAAATGGACTAATACAAACACTGTAGTAAATAAGGCTCTTCATTCATAGTCTGATAATCAAAAAGTTGCAGCAAAATAGTTTCTTGATCCTTGTTAACACTGGTATTTGAAGTTTTAGTTTATATACTTAAAGGACCTTGAAAATTTCCCCTTGCTCAAACTGAATCTCTTCTGATGAAAATGTGTTTGGTGGCAATTGATGAGTTTCATGTGATGATGCAGCGGAGGATGAGCCAGGAGTGTCCCAGCCAGGCCATGGAAACAGAACTTGCACAGAGACTGCAGATGCTCACTGTCCTAGCAGTCACAGGATTGTTTATCATGGTAGGACTATAGAATGAGTGTGTTCTTCCTCAAATAGTAAATTAAAACAAATAATTTGAAAGGAAACTGATTAGGTTTCAAATTTTTAAGCAGCAATTTTTTTTTTAATTAACATCTACATTATGAAAGCAATTTCTAATTTGGAGCTGACAGTCTTGAATAAAAGTCCGCTTTTTAATGTGTTAAATGCTGGCCTACATTGACCACTGAGTTTATAACAGTTTGGCACCTCCAGTATTTTTTAAAAACTTTTATTTTGAGGCAATTGTAGATTCACATGTAGTTGTTAAGAAATAATACAGAGAGATTTCTTTTCTTTTTTTTTTTTTTTTTGTCTTTTGTCTTTTTTCCGTGTCCGGCAACGGATCGCAACCCTCAGTGTTGCCCCCATACCGGACCGGGGACCGGCAACGGGATCGCAAGCCTCGGCGCTGCTCCTGCGCCTCGCTCAGCCAGTGAGCGGGAGCCGGTCTGTTTGTGGGATCCGAACCCTCGGACGGGAGCGCCGCCGCGCTTCCCAAGCGGCGCACCATCCAGTGCGCCACCGGGCCGGCCCTACAGAGAGATTTCTTTACCCAGTTTCCCCCAATGAACCTTGCAAAACTATAGTGCAGTATCACTGCTAGGGTATTGACACTGATATAATCAAGAAACACAACATTTCATTACCACAGGATACCTTATGTTGCCCTTTTATAGCCATGCCCACTTGCCTTCCACCATCAGCCCCAGCAACCTCTACTCTGTCTTTCATTTCTATATTTTTGTCATTTCAAGAATGTTATATAAATGGAACCATACAGTGTGTAGCCTTTCAAGATTGGCTTTTTCCACTCAGCATAATTATCTGGAAAGTCATCCTGGTGGTTGTATGCATTTATCAAAAGTTCAATGCCTTTTTTTTTGCTGAGTAGTATTCCATAGCATGGATGCACCAGTTTGTTTAATTATTCACCTGTTGAAAATCCATCTGTGTTGTTTCCAGGTTTTGCCTACTACAAATAAAGCTGCTATAAACATTTATGTATAGGTTTTTGTGTGAAGATAAATCTTCATTTTGGGGGATAAATGTCCAGAAGTGCAAATACTTGGTCATATGATAGTTTCGTGTTTAGTTTTTTAAGAAACTGCCAGACTTTTCCAGAGTGGCTGTACAATTTTACCTTTGCACCAGCAGTGTGAGTGATCTGAGTTTCTTTGCATCCTAACCAGTATTTGGATTTGTCACTTGTTTATTTTAGCCATTCTGAGAGGTGTGTAGTGATATCTTATTGTGGTTTTAATTTGCATTTCTATAGTGACTAATGATTATATATTTATGTATGTATATGTTGTAATACCTGGAGTAATCACTAAAAAAGCTATGCAAAGAAATACACTGAAAAACACTATAGATAATATTCTCACCACACACACACATACAAAACCTATGTGAGGTGGTGTATATGTTAATTAGCTTAATTAGATTAATTTTTCAGTCTGTGCATGTATCAAAACATCAAATTATACACCGTAAATATATATGATCTTATTTGGCAACTTTACCCCAATAAAGCTAAAAAAATTTATTTTTTTTCCTTTTTGTCTTTTTTCGTGTCTGGCAATGGATCGCTACCCTCAGTGTCGCGCCCGCACCTCGCTCAGCCAGTGAGCGGGAACCGGTCTGTATGTGGGATCCGAACCCTTGGCGGGAGCGCCGCCGCGCTCCCAAGTGGCGCACTGTAGCAGTGTGCCACCGGGCCG